ACTGAGCTATGGAAGCCGATCAGCTGTAATTGTACATCAGCAGCATAATGCAACGTCAAGTCTGCATTGCCAAAAACAACGATCCCGACGTCAGTCAGAGACTATTGATGTGTTTGTGACTTATAAAATGGGAGCCTCCTGCACAGCGGTAGCCAGTTTTCTGTTCAATCCAATCGAAGCCCAACTCGCATACTCCCAGATCTTTCAGTTTCTGTTGGATCTGCTCTTTAGTAAGCGTGATGACTTTGCTGGATGTTTTTGTCTCTTGATGAATGGTGGTATCCCTGTTTTGACTAGGGCTGTCGACTGTAACCTCGACGGTTTGGATAAGAGACATCTTGTAGGTGATAAGTGGTTGTTGACGTTTGCTCAAGGAAGAGAGAAAATTCGGATGAAAGCATGGACAGATGGGCATCTTGTAGCCAGCCCAGGCCTTATGAGATTCCGAATGGGCAGAGGAGTTACGATGCCTTATTTGGTGATGATGGTAGGTGTTTGGATAGTTGCGATATTAGTTAAAGGAAGGGAATACTTAGAATGAAAAAACAAGGGAGTTTACGTTGATGAAAACTCTATATTAGGGCACGACAAACACAACTTCTTGTGAGTTACCATTTTGCATGTGAGACTGCCTGACATTAGATCAACGAAGCGAATCTCCTCTCACTCTTCACCTTTTCAGATGTTGCTAGATATAATCAGACAGAACAATACCCCTAAGCTCTATTCTGCCTTGGCAACTAATCCTGTAGATCTCTGATATCACTGTGATTCATAAAATGCATGCCTCCTGCGCAGCGATAGCCTCCATGCTCCTCAATCCACTCGTATCCAAATTCGCAGACTCCCGAGTTTCTCAACTTCTGCTGAATTTGCTCTTGTTTCTTCTTTTGTTCTGCCGTTGCATTGCGCGTCAAGGCTTCCTTTTTGTAGACCTGTAGCTGTGCCCAAACCTCATCCGAAACGCCCTTTTCCCTTTCGACATGGCTCTGACCTGGCTCCTGAGCAGTATTAGCCTCCTTCACTTTGGGCTGCTCTTTCTCTTGCGTTTTCTTTGTGACTTCAACTTCCTTGGAGACAGCCTTTGCCGGGCTTGCTTCTGTTTTCGTTGCGGTCTCTGTGCGTGGGGCCTTCCTAGGACCATGATCATCAGATCGCATAGTACGCTTCCGGCTTGTATTATGAGGCGCCTGTGTCTGTAGCATTACTACATATTGACGTTGACGCTGTTGTGCCATCTCATGCACACAGCTACGCAGAAACGCAACCTCGACCGTAAAACCCTTTCCATCAGGGTTATTTATCAATGGCATTCCTGGTTCCAAGATTTTCACAAGCACCCGCCTTGCGATCTGAATCATGTCGCCCGCATTTTGAAACCCCGGAACCTGTTGGAGTTTGTGAATGGCGTGTCTTAAGCTGCTCATGGTAGGGTGCATATGATCAGGCTTTTGTAATTTTGGCAGTAGCACAGATTGGGCTTCGAGTTCGCGTGTCAGCAGTGAAATGCAGTCGTCAGGTAATAAGTCCTCGAACATGATCTCGTCTCTGAAGTGTGCCTTAAGCGAGGGTCGACTCTTGAGAAGAATGTTCACGTTTTGCACAGAGTCTGTAAGAATGATGACCATAGTCTTGGGATAGGAAAGCCCCGAGATGAACTGCACCATTTCACCAAGGGCTTCAGCTCCGTATGGCTCATGGTTGAGACCAAGTACGTCGTCAATCAGCAGAACCTTCCCCAAGGCCTTTTGGAGTAGATCTCGAGTCTTTGGTGCCGTTTGACCAACGTAACGGCCAATGAAATCTGGTCCTGTATGAGATACCACTTCTGGAGACGAAAGGCAACCCAGATTATAATATATCCGGGCCAGGAATCGGGCTGCTGTCCTTTTCCCAGTACCTTGCAGATTGTCAGTTTGCTATTCGACAGTGGAAGCTATGCACTCACCAGGTGATCCTTTGAAGGCCAAAAGATTTGAAAGAACCAGATGTGGGTTTGGCAATCGACTTTCTATCGCTCGTCGACCAGTCTGTTCATAGGAGATAAGTCGATTAGCAACATCCGTACCAAGGTTCTCGAGCATCTCATCCGCTAAGCTTTCATGCTTGCTCTTGAGATCTGGATCGAAATCTTCTGGCAAAAAATGATCTTGACCAGACTTTTCGTTGTGAGGCAGTTTGGAAATCCGTTGAATGTAGTTGGCCTTTGCTACCGCGAGACAATGGCCTACTTCAGCAGCGTTTGCGAAATCAGGACGAATCGAGGCTCTCTGGAGTATCTCCAAGGCGGTTTTAAAGGCCTCCTGGGTGTATTTGAGTTGCTCCTGCTTCATGCTTCTCGTGAGAATCTCTTTCATGTCAGACGGTCCGTAATCCGCGAATCGCCAGGGGTGGCTAGCCTGAAACCGCCGTGATAGGCCTGGGTTCATGTTCTTGAACATGTTCTTTAGTCTATCTTCGTAACCGAGCAGAAGAATGCACCTGTCTTCGTTGCAGTCACCCTGGACGTTTGCGACAATTGTGTCAAGCACACTTGCTTTGTAGTTGCTGGTGGTGCTTCCGTCATCTCCCGCGTCAAACATGTAAGCCTCATCTATGATCAGGACGCTGCCAAGAGTCGCCTCAAGAATCTTGCTTGTCTTTTCTTCAGATCCGCCGACATGCGCGGCTATGAAGTCTGCCGGGGTTTTGATAACAACTAGAAACCATGCTGTTAGGTATTACATAAATGGATACAAGGTTGGAAATGGCACACTCACCATCGCCGCGGCTCAGTAATCCTATATCAGCCAAAATTTGTCCATAAAGCTTTGCGACAGTTGTTTTCCCTGTACCGGGTTGGCCCACGAAAACCCTATTCAAAGGCAACTGTATTACAGAATCCCCTTCACACTCGCGTTTGTAGTTAAGGTCGAGGGATTCGATGAGTGTTCGGACGGAACTCTTCACCTCGTCCAAGCCAACGAGATTCTGTAACTGTCGCCATGCTTGACTCTCGAAGACCTGCCCAGGAGGCGGACCGATGATGTCGTCGCGGGTGAGTAAACAGTATCGTTCCTTTAAATCGGAGCCTTCATCAAGTAGTCGGTCGTCATCAGGGCATTCGTCGCTAGAACTGCTGGAGCCAAGATTCATCGAGACATCTTCTGAGACAAGCACTGTAGTGGACTCTATAGATCCGTACCTTCCGCGCCTCTTGAGGTCTTCTGATATCCCTTGGATGCCTCTTGCAAGGTCTTGGTGACTCTTTCCTTGCTTTGTGTCACTTTGACGGGCTTCGTCCTCACTCATCGCAAGCTCTTGCTTGGATAAGCGTGAAAGCTGACGTTGGACCATCTGACTGACACATGCTTGAACTGCACGAGCGTTACCAAATGAAGCGTTGTGTGATCCACGCTCGAGTCGTTGAATTGCGATCTGTACGTAGATTCCATCCACGCCACCCTCGAATCTCATCTTTGTGTAGTCCTCTTGGACATGCTTGACAAAGATCTCCCATAGCCCGGCTTTCGGAAAGTTCGGAAAATGGAATCTACGTCCAATGCGACTTGTTAGGCCTTGATTGTATTCAAAGAAGGGTTCCATTTGTTTCTTGTATCCAGCGAAGATGACCACTAGCTTGCCAATCTTGTCAGACATGCTTTTCAAAACGATGTCCAGCACTTGTCTTCCTTGGTGGTCCGACAGCATCTGGTAACTCTCATCAATAAAAAGAGTCCCACTGACATCTTCATCCTTTAGGATAAGCCGCACATCTCGTCTCAGGCCGGAGGGCCCGTCTGTGGCGAGCTCAACTCCTGAGGTTTCAACAATATCTGTCGCCACAATCCCGAGCGATTCTAATAGCGCATGATAGAGCCTAGCGACTGATGTTTTGCCTAACCTGGTGTCAACCGCTGAAAGATGAGTAAAATGCTTGTGTGGGTACGTACCGGTCCCTGGGTTTCCTTCAAACGCAACATTGTAGTTCTCGTTCTCTGGCTTTCTCCCTTGAATTCTGGCAAAACGGATGCTTTCCCGAATGTTCAGAAAGTATAACTTGATCTCTTCAAGCCCTTCATATTTCATGAGGTCATCAATGGCTTCCTTTGCGCCACCCTTGTTCTTTGTTCTTGACCACCTTCGAGCGGCTTCGGATTCGACTCTCTGGAAAGGATTTTGGCAGGGCTCCATTCTAAGAGCTGTAGGTGATGAGACGACCTTATGAATATCACACCTGGAAAGTGCCAGATACTTGTGCCAGTCACTGTACAAGAAGGAACGAGTCATGTGATGAACAATTCAGCCCCTGCCGGCCTACCGTAAGCGGCCTCCAAATAATGCCTTGGCGTGATTGGGAAGCCCAGAGGCATCTGCAGATCGGTTTCTGCCCAAAGCCCCATAGCCACGTCAGTACTGCATTCAGCTGAGTTGTACCGCTCACAGCCCACCTCAGCAAAAGACATCGCTTGTACTTTTCTTTGCCTCATCTTATTTAACGGCTTCCACCGGGACCTTATTCTGAGTGGTGTTTACGATAAACCATCATCTATGGGCGTAATTGAAATAAATCACCGAGCAACACTTTAACATGGAATCCTCACGCCAGAATCTGACCCCCGAGCGAGTGCTCGAGTCAGGCCAAGCTATCGAGCAATATTCTCAATCTCAACTAAAAGGGCTTATGGAAGTGTTTGCCACCATCTCACAATACACTTGTCACAACGAGGATCTCGTTATACTAGGGGAAATGGAAGTTACTAAGCGCTTGGCAAAGGCAAAAATCAACTCTGGTGGAGTGAGACAAAATACTGTTAGTCCTCACCTGCCAGTATGTTATTTACCTCAACTCCTATGGGAATAACATTAACTCGGATTAGTCCACCCAATGCCAGGATGTTGCAGCAGAGGCAACAGAAACTATCCATTCTCTTGCAGGGAGTAAATGCGCCTCTGGCCAGTACTGCGGTCCTTTCATTCCTCACCCAAGGCACTACTCCAGGATACACGCTACGAACGTGATCCTCGAGAAAGGAAGTCTCTTCAATCCCACCGGGGTAATACCAGGATCTGAGATGATCTGGCAAAACGATGCATGGAACACTGCAAAAACGATATTCCATTCAAGTAGGTTTTTCGCACCCACCTAGAGGACACAAAAAGGTTAATCTTACTGATTAATTTCAACTTTAGCTTTTAATGGTGAGGTTACAATGGGAGGTCTCGAACACGTGGCTGACGCTCTTCGGGGCGCACTCTATGTCACGAAAGTCCTCCGAGCTGAAGATGGGCCAACGCCTGAGGTTGGTCAAATCCAAGAGCTTGAATTGCGGGTTCAGGAGCTTTCGAACTCCACACATGCGGCTTGGTTGGAAGCACCTGTTCAGATGTGACGTCTTCAAGCCCTAGAGTAGCGTACATTTTGAACTTTTATATGGAAAGGGTGTCACTTTACACTGAGCTCGGTACCTGATGCATTGAACCATCGATAGAGCGATTCTTCAATTCAGTCTCTAACCTATATACCATAGACCGTCTTCCGCGGCTTCAGCTACGATACCCAATATTAAATCTGAACTGCAAATGGATTCCCCTGGTCCTAATGAGGATAGTTGTGTTGCAGCAATTGTGTTTGGTGTAACCCTGTCTAACGGTATGAATCCTATGTTATGCAACCTCATTGAACATATTCGGCGGCAATAGATTTTTCTGTCCTGGTCCACACTCTCAATAGCGACAAGTATCCCCCTGATACAAGAATCTTTCTCTTTACTTGACTCGAGCATCGCCGTTTCTGGTATCACAGCGAGTGATGTGCTACCATAGGTCCTCTCTGCCTCAATTCCACGCTTGAAAGAGATTCCCGGGTCAGATGCGTCTTGTGCTTCTGTTATCACATAATAACAAGTCTTGTCGCCAGGCAAAACGAGCCAGAAGGTTGTAACTATAGTATTCGACCTGATGGGAAGGATAAAGCCTGTCGCTTCAATCTCCAGATATCCATTAACCGTGACCTTGGCAAACTGCATGCTCTTTTCGTGCTGTTCTTTAAGATCTCGTTCGTCGTAGCACAGATAGGCGGTAGGGTATGCAGAGCGAAGCAAGGTACGGGGCGCCCAATGAAAGCCAGGAACATTCATCTTCGGTTCTTGCCGAAAGATAATCCTTCTAGGGACATTGTGGAACATGCGCCAGAACTCCAGCATTCTGTCTTCGGCAGAACTAAATGCTGCTATTCGTCCAACGTCGAAGTCCAACAGAGCCGCAAGACAAAGGGCTTCGTCGGCCAACATACTGGTGCTCCGATGGTATACTGCTGAAAACACATCCACAAGACTGCGTGCCACACTCTTTGAGGGGTCTTGAAAGTTGAGATCATCATGGACGCCAAGAACTTTGTCCATGGTTTCGGTCATCGATTCGTGATATGCAACCGGGGGTTGAAAGTCTGGGTCATCCTTTTTCCTAAGTATTCCAGTAAGAAAGGGTGCGTCGATCCAGTGGCGGCCTCGCATCACCCTATGCGACTGGGTAGCATATCGCAATTGCCAGTAAGAAGCAAGTATAGGTGATAAGAATGCAAAACGCGTTATTGGGTCAGAGGTTTCTTGTAACTGAATAATAGCCGCATCGACATTTAGAGCACGATCGAGAAACTGAACATGCAGAGATTTTGCCAACGCCCCTTCCTGAAGTGTCCAGAGCCGCCTGGTCCATGTTGAGCTAAAGATTTTAAGGAGGTTTTCCACGTCTGACTTGTCTTGGCAGGTTGATTCGTAAAGCCAGGAATCAAGTACAAGGACTCCTGCAGCATTTTCATATGTCTTCCGCATCAACTCCAGAGATATCCTTTGCGCTTGGGCCATTTTTGACCCTTCGCAAGGAGGATTGCACGGGTTCTCGTGAGGTTCGACTGGGCAGGTACAATGGCAGATCTCATCTGGCGGTATGCAAATAGTGTCAAGCCAAAAGTGTGTATACTCGCCATAGTACGTTCCAATGCTCCGGACGTGGTGACTGAGCCTCTGCAGCTGACATTTAGGTATCGCATTTGCCTTTGGGTTACCTAATCCGTCAGACCAAACATGAGAAATAGCAATGTACTCAGTTTGTGGCTCTGCTTCGACTATACTGATTCGAGCATCCTCGTCGTCTGGATCTACCGAGCGAATTACGGGAATTGCTCTCTTGTGTAGTATCGTAGAAAGCTCAATCAAGCTTGGTAGTCCGACAATCTCGCAAGAGCAGTCGCTGTACGCGTGTTTCGTCGTGTAATCCTGGTCGTTGAGAACCTTTGCAAAACACTTTTGCGAATTGCAGGTTCTAACCTCATTGGTCTTGGTCTCAGTTGATGTAAAAACGCTGGGTTGGCGACTCTCATATTCTGCCTTAGCCAGCAATGGAGTGAGGTGGTCAACATCTGGGTGGGGTTGAGACATCTGCAATAAGAAGTATAGACAAGGTGTATTGAAACGGTGGAAGTTGGTCACTAGATCTGCTGGACACCAACCATTGAGCCGAAATTCTGGATACATCGTCCTTGTTGTGTTGCTTAGGTTGAGCGTTCTAAACTGACCGTTCAGCGACGCGCCTGTTCCGGCTAGACTTATAGACGAAAAGCACATTTCGATCACAATGGAAGTCAGGAGTGAGATATGAGATGACCGTATGTCCGGGTGGTTGAATATAGGGATGAATTCGTATAAGCTGATATTCTGGGAGGATCCCCATTCGCAAGAATATCCTCCAATCGATGACAATGATCTATGGAGGTCCATCAATCCCCCCAAAGCTTCATGATTATCCAGGATCTTGAACATGTCGACAGCAGCAAAAAGCCTTGGTAAACCTTGCATTGTCAGGACCGGATACGGCGGGTGACCTTTCCACTGAACAAAGTTGGCTTCCTTCATCAGGTCCTCTCCAAAGAATGCATAGAGAAACCCGAACAATGGCCATGTTTCGATCAATGCGACGAAGTCTGACGGCGGTTTCTCGAACAGCTTTTCCCAATCAGTGGCCTTTCGAGGGTGCCATCTTTCGTCTTCTCTCTCGGGGTAAGTTTTGAAACAGCCCCCAGAATATCCCTTGAGAGAGAGCAACGTTATTTCGGGGCAGGGGTACAAAGGCCGATGGGGACGTGGAAGGAAGTCCATGGTGAGATTTCGTAACAGTTTGCTTGAATCATGCTTGTTCCAATATCTAGAACTTTTGCGGACTTATACAGAACAGTACTTGTCATAGCGGGTCCGTAGAGGCACGAGCGGTGGGAACTAACAAGTCAAAACCAACATGCATATGATGTGCTATACTCTTGGGCAGCAATGCATATACGGAGTCATGTACAGTGAGCTGGCACAAAGGCTGAGTATCTTGCCTGCCGAATCTGGCGTTTCTCAGGGTCCAGGGCTACACTTTTGTGGCTGTGGTTCTGAGGCCGCTCGGATGGTCCAGGTGATCAGCACCCATAAGAACCAACCAGCATCCGTTAAACGAAGAGGCCGCCTTATGCCAAGAAAGTGTTCTACACGTAATAGCTTTGCCTGGTAATCATCGACACATCACGTCAACTATCCAAGCAATGCTCACGGCACGTCAGATCACCAGACCCCGTGGGGGGTTAAAATTGCAGTG